GAGTGATGCAACAAAATCCAAGTCTCTGGTAGAATTACGACCGAAGAGATTATCTTCAAGATTTAATCTATGAAGAATTGTCAGATCTCCTAAATTAGCTGGAACTTGGCCTTCATACTTATTTGTGGATAGATCAAGTATCTCAAGCCCAGAAGCATTGGTGACTGAAGTTGGAAATTTTCCATAGAACTTGTTTACGCCAACATATAATTTTTCCAGATTTGGTAGGGTGAGACCTATGTTGTTTGGGAGGTAGCCATGAAAGGAATTGGCGGATACTGAAATGACAGCAATGGCTGAAATATTAAAGATAGAGGCAGGGATTATCCCAGATAGTTTATTTCCTGAAACGGCTAATATAGCTAACCTTTTTAAGAGCCCCATCTCCATGAGTAAGTTTCCCTCCAGATTGTTGAAACTGAGACCGAGTCTGATCAGTGATGATAAGTTCCCAATGGAGGAGGGAATCTCTCCTGTCAAATTGTTTGACATAAGATAAAAAAGTTCAAGCTTCTTCAGATTGCTCAGCTGATCAATTGGAATTTTCCCTTCCAGCCTGTTGCTCTCTAGGCTAATAACAATCATCTCTGAGCAGTAGCTCAGGTTTGCTGGGATTTTTCCACCGAGTGCATTGCTTGACAGGTTCAAGACTCTTAGCCTGAAGAGGCGACCAAATTCTTTGGGAATTTCACCTTGGAATTGATTCTCCGCAAGATGGATGAACCTCATGAAGCTTAGATTTCCGACATGTGGAGATATAGTTCCAGACAAGTGGTTATCCCTCAGAGTCAAGGCTGTGACCCTCTGATGTAGGGTACTGCATGTGACTCCTTGCCACTGGCAATGGTGTTGTGAATGGTTCCAGGAATTCAGCACTCCAAACGGGTCATCATATATCTGACGCTTGAATTCAAGCAGAGCAAGGCGATCAGTCTCATTTTGAAATTGTTTAGCAGCTGAAACATGGTTTACTGGAAATTTCATGGCAACCAAGAGTAGGAGAAAAATGTTTGCTAATGTTGATGACCGGAATCCCCACATGGTTTTTGGAAATTCCATTAGTTGTAAAAGCAAAGATGGATTAATTTGCAGCAAATTGATGATTGAATGGTAAAAGCTTTTGTGTACTGGGAACATATTTGAGCTGTTACAGCCTTACAAGTTCTTGTAGTTCTGCTTATACAGCCCAAACAATTGGAACTAATGGGACTTGCTTTTCTTGGTATACTTTCGAGGAAAATGAGCAAACGTTCGTTGTCAGAACCTAATACAGAAATAGCCAGCAACTTAGAACTTAAGCATATCGACCATAACGCAAAGTCCTGATACTAAAACTTTTCAAAATGTGAAAGGTGGGATTGAAAAGTAAAAGTTCACTAATGAAGAACTCATACGATCCATGACAATGAACTTGTAATTTATAAAGGAGACCAGAGATGAAACATATTTATCGATATCTAATCTAGTCCATCCACCGTGATCTTTTGTACTATGGGAAGGCACAATTAGAAGCTCAATTCCAAATGTTTTGCATTATGGATCATTCATTCGACTAGCTAATTTTCACCTCAGTTTCATTAACCAAGAATCAAAGCAGGAGTTATCTCCAGCCAATTTATCATTGATACCTCATGGTGCCAAAGTGAGTGTATCTCTGTGGATAGTTGCGATTTATCCAAAAAAAAAAAAAAAAAAGGAAAAGAAAAAGGAAAAAGGAAGTTCCTGAATTATGTGCTTTCCAATAGGATTAATGTGAAGTGTTTAAAGGTTTTCTTACCAGGTCAAAAAAAGCTGTATTGTGCGATGTCTTAAATATTAATGACCATGGGCCATTGTTTAGACCTGATTGTACAAGGAAACTCCGTAGTCATCCTGCTGTTTAATGTGTTCATCTACCAGAGATGATCAACAGGAAGCCTATCTTCCCAATTAACACCAACCACAAGAATGTTGGTATGCTAGAATCTGTCGGTCGGCTTATGCGAGTTCTGTTCAAACCATGGTATTGGTAGCTGGGGGGGACGATAGCCCACAATATGACTACTATAAAGCTTGACAAAAACAAACTAAAAAGAAGGGAAAATGGTTATTGGTCCTTTACGTATCACCTTCTATCAATTTGGAAAATGGCATATACACCAATTTAAAAAAAAAAAGATTTTACGAATGATGACAGACATGAATTTGGAAGTCAGAATCACAAATCTAAGCGTTTCTATTTCTAACCTGCATTTTTCAGCAAGTCTGCTCAAGGGTGACAGCCTGCTCTGTTTCCTTTGTTTTTTTTTTTTTTTTTTCAAGAAATCCACCTTGAGATGGTGAAAAGACCAATATTAAGTCTTTTCACCTTGAGATGGTGAAATTAATATTAATTCGTAAATGAGACTAAGTACTAAGTACTATTAAGTCTTTTCACCTTGAGATGGTGAAAAGACCAATATTAAGTTTAAGTTTTACTTGGCTCCATGTAGGCCTGTCAACGGGTCGGGGTCCGGGCCAGAATTCATTATTCTGGACCCGGATCCGGCATATCATATCGGACCTGGATTCAATCCATTTATCCGACGGATCTTCTACTGTATGTTTCGGATCCAGATCCGACGGGTCTCGGATTCGGGTTGTGCTACTCGAAAAAATCTATTAAAATTTACAATTTCTAATAAAAATGAGAAAGAAATATATTTGTAAACTAATTTCTAACTAATACAAAAAAAATCAAATAAGAAAAGAAATCAAATTGACTTTACTCAAATACATCACCCTAATCAAATTATATTGATAAATATATATTTTTTAAATTATATATTTAAAACTTAAACTCAAAATTGGTCTCTTCACCAGCTTGATGTTCATAACGCTTTCCTTCATGTCGATCTTCACGAAGATATTTAAATGTCTTTACCTCCTGGTTTTCAGTGACGGGGAGAATCTTGTATGTCGCCTCAACAAGTCATTGTTTGGTTTGAAACAAGCCTCTTGCTAATGGTTTGCCAAATTCTCTACAGCTATTCAATCTGTAGGTTTTGTACAATCCAAGGTAAATTATTCCGTATTTACTGTCAAAAAGGCACATCATTCACAACTCTGATACCATGAAAAGATGATTGAAAAAAAGGGATGTTTCTTTCAGTCATTGAATCAGGATAATACACTTTATATAGAATTACAATATCTATTTCTGCTAGTTCCTATAATTGTGCTAAATTATGCTATGCTATCAAATTACAAAATCTTTCCTAATTACATTCTGATTACAATAAAATCTATGTCATTAATTGTGAACTTGCCTTCTCAACGGGATGTCTACAGTTATGCATGCTTTTGCTAGAAATGTTCTCAGGAAGGGGACTAACAGCTATTACATTTGTAGATGACCAGTATTTGCATAACCATGTTAAGATGCCTTTGCCTAAACAAGTTTGGTAAATCGTGGACCCTTCGCTATGTTAAGTTTTAATTAAGTCTCATTTACGAATTAGTACTTAGTAGCTATGTTAAATTTACTCCAATATAACAATTTATTCAGTTTAAGTCTCTTAAATAATTTTCCCTTTTTTTTTAAGTTTTACTCGTACAATGTAACAATTATATGTCTAAAACCAAAAGTTCAGAGTACGGAATGGGTGTTGGGACATCAATTCTGGGGGATGTCTACAGCTATGGAATTCTTTTGCTAGAGATGATCACAAGGAAAAGGCCAACAGGTGATATGTTCATGGATGAGCTAGATCTACATAATTATGTTAATAGGGCCTTGGCCGGACAAGTTTATGAGATCGTGGACCACTTGCTTCTTTCTAAAGCAGCAGATGGAAACAAAAGAATGACTCCTGGGGGGATAAAACTGATGGTGGAAGAGACATGGATTGTGTTATTTCCCTGTTGAAAATCCGGCTCAAATGCTCAGAAAAATTGCCAAATGATCGGATGCACATGAATGAAGTTGTCGGAAAATTACATCATATTAAGGAGTCAAAAAAATGCTGTTCTTCCTAGCGAGTGACAATTTTAAGGAAAAAGATAGAGAATTAGTGGTCCTTATGCGCTATTTGCTCAAATTAGTCAGGGTAATCAAGGTATCTGATTTGGGACACAAAATTTTAATTGGACAATGTTGGAGAGAGTTACTTAGACCTTGTTGGGATTTAGAACAAATGTGGACAGTGATATTTTACATAAGGCCACAATTAAGTTTAGTTAAGCAGGTCAATGCCTATTTCACTTGCAATCCAGATTGGAGGGTTCAGTTAGGTTAAATACTAAGTCCCAAATTTATTTGCATGAAGCACCCGAAGAGAGGACATACCTCAAGATCCACACTCCTTAATTAATATACTTTCAAATCACTCAGTTAAGCTATTGTCGGAACATCCTTGTCAACGTACTCATTTAAATACTAGACTAGTAGTTAAAGATATCGTCACAACAAAATTGCCCTCTTCATTAGACAATGTTACGATATTAGATGTATTCATCTGTTGTTGATATTAAAAGCACCTGTGCAAATGATGGAGGAAACTTAACACAAAGAAGTCCCACCATCAATTTCGTCATTGGGTGCATAACCTGCAGCAGTGCATATAATCTGTGTGTCATATCCATGCTCGGAAACGTTCTACTGCACTAAGCACTGAAAGCAGCTTTAACCTTTGCGTGCTAGGATAGGGAAAAAACACCAACTGGTACTTCACCACATGCAAACATGAAAAAACCCATGTTGTATTGCGTCAAAATGGCATAATCAAAATCTCAAAAAACGATGTACCTCAAGGCTATAAACCACAACTATTTCACGTAATGTAGTCAACCTGCAACAGTTATTGTACCAATATTCCCTACTCCAACTTTTGCCACTCAAAGCACCAGATTCAATGAGATAGGAAAGCTGCAAGCATAGCTCCTGCGTGCAGTTTATGTACCTTTCCATTCCAAACATTTGAAACCCTCACACTGGTTTCATTGAGTAATACAAGTCAAGTTCAGGTAAAAATTTTTGGTCATCGTAAAACAGATGCAGAACCTGATTTGTTGCTGCCACAATTAGCAACGATCTGTTGTGTGCACGATGTTTCCAATATCAGATGATTGATTACAAAAAGAGAAGTCTATTTTCCCATGAAGATCAAGTATTTCACGGGAACATTAATCAGCACTCGCCAAACTTTGATGAGACGATTTAATTTCCAGACACCAGGCTCTCCAGTAAAGTGGTTGAGTAATTCATGAAGTCATAGCATTACATATATAACAGCAGCAAGTTCAAATCCTTACCATCTATTTCAAAGTCCATCCAACAGCAACTGGAACATAAAAGACCAGCATCATGGCACTAACACTAAACGTGTTGTATTAATACCTAAGCTCCCGATGAACTCATCACACACAACTTCTAAAACTTGTACAAGCAGAATGCGCAGTGGAAGCATGAAGCATTTGTCCAACCTATTGTCAAGCACCAATGACCCTCTGAATAGCATGTCAGGCTTTCTGAAAATAAAGCATCATGAAAATCTTTAAGTTTTACAATGAAAAGAGGTTTTATATCAAATCTGAAAACTGTAGTGATGCAAACTGTAGCTAAATTTTACCTGCATCGGAAGGTACAACTTGAATTCTGGTGGGAGTTCTTCCTCGGAATACAGCCGGTCAGAGAAATAAATTCTTCTCAAGCGGCAATTGGCATGAACCTGAACTCTCAAAGTTTCAACATAGTTGGTTCCATATGCTCGTCTTGTCAAATCAGTTAGATTCAACTGGATCTGATTCCAGCCTTCATCCATTCTCAATGGCATGGTGCAGATATATGGTTTCACCCTGGTAACCGCCTACAAAAAGGACATGTAAATTCAGTCTCTTCTCATTTCACTCACGCAAAGAATCTCATTTAGGTTTCAGCAACATTTCTGAAATTTCCATAGTTAGCCTCCAAAACAAAAGTAATCCAGCATAAGAACCAAAAATCAAGATAAAAAAAATTGCACAAAAGCTGTTCCATCATCCAACACAAATAAGATACCGCCAAAATCTATTATTTTCTAATATTTATTTATAGTTTGCCTCTTTCAGAATATGTCCCTCTTTTCTATTCGGGTTTTTCTTTCCCTGTCTGGCTGGCATGGATACTTCAGTATTCAAACTCATCAAAACAACATTGCTCCCTGATTCCCAGCAATGAAAAAATTCCATGAGTCCATCATATGCATAGGTGAGACTCATACAAGGATATGCATAAATCCTTACTGTAATATGAAATGATAAAAAAATCTAAAAGAAAGAAGGCAAGAGGTAAACATGCTGAGAAAGAATGTGGAGCAAAAGTTAAGAATTAAGTCACTACAGGACTAACAATACTACTAATGCATCAATTCGTGTCACATGACATCTTAACACCAGATGGTGTCAACCTAGCTAGGACATTAGTTTAGCCAAATGGTTTCCACCAAAGGCCAGAAAAGTCATTTGCCCTTACAATTCAAGTAGAATTTGGCAAGACATGAATGCTTTACACCTTTCTGTTCTAACCATGTCAATAGCCCAAAGGTAGAGGGCAGACTACTTACATAACACAAAATAAAGCACCAAGATTATTTCCATCTTTGGTATGACTTGAACTCAGCAGGCAATAAGAATACACCTTTCCAAATAGTAGATTACAATACTTTTTAAAAAAAGTAGAAAAATTAATTCCATTTTCATGTTAGTTGGCCAACATATCTTTCAACAAAACTTTTAGATCTTTGACAATTCTTCAAATCACAATGCTGTTATGCTTTTGTTAGTTTATTCTATTAACCTGCTGACCACTGGGAAAGACTTACACACTTGATAGTTTGAAGCACGAAATCGCCGGCGAACATTTTTATCATCCAGCACCTGAATCTCAAAAGTGAAGTACTTCTTCGGATTTTTAACAATCATAACTAGAAATGGAAGCTTTATACCAAGTGTTGCATTTGGATCAGCTGGGCATGTAATATATGTTGATTGAATATTTGATCCTACAATCTCAAGGACATTGGACTGTATGTCTTCATCTTGAATACGCTTGATCTGGCCATTGACAACTACAAGAAATTGGAAAATTACAATATCTATGAAGACAGAGATGTAAAAATGTAAAGATAAAGAATCCTAAAGATGGATCTTCTCACACAGTTTGTACCTAGTAAACACACTAGCTGTTTGCATCTAGTAAAATAGCTCCCTGTGCTAGCATCTCAACACTAATCTAAGACAAGCTGTGTTAAAAAAAGAACAAACACAACCACTTATTTATGGAGGTTAAGCATGCCAATGATAGACAAAGACAAATCTAAATCTGCAATTTGTGACATCAAAATCCACGGTACAATTCCATAGCTCTCCACAGGGGAACAATAACCAGAACTAATTTTCTAAAAGCAATCTACAAGAGCCTGAGACGGTCATGTAATCAATCCAAAAATTTTAGTAATATTTTACTGCTGAGAGATGAAGTACAACAGTTTTTGCAGTTACTCACCTTCTTTATCCCATATCTGCAAAGGCTTGCTCCTAATGAACATGACAGATAAAAGCAGTTTGGGGTTAAGTGTAGATTGATGGTAAACTGAAATCCATTTAAAAGTTAAATTCCACATACCCCAGGCTGTATAAAATGGACAAAAATCCAGACTGAAAGGTGTTCTTAAACATTCCTTCAACTTGATATTCTGTGAACTACTGCAATGAAAAATAAAACACTAAAAAAAAGTTTACACTAGATATGCATGATAATTTTGAAAAGAAATAACTTAGACGTACATCAAAAGGACTTCAGTAAAGGAAGAAGTTGCAAAGTACCTAGACAAGAATTTGTCAGTCAAGATGCAACACAACAAAAGTTACACTTTGTAATTATGATTGAAAACTACAAAATATTCAAGGCTTAAAAATCTGATAAACAAACAAACTGGCCAACTTTTTAAACTATTTGATGCACAGAAGGTAATAAGAATAGAAATATTAAAGCTCAATAGACAGACATGACAAAAGGTACCGTTTCAACTCTTGATTGTCAATAACTTGTTAGTTTAATTGTGTATGTATATCAAAACGATAAGTAAAATCAAATATTATAGCAGTTGAACAGCTGCTATATACTATTCTTCTAGAAGCTATTCTGCCTTATCTGCCTGCATGCATAAGAGGCTGCAATTTTTTCCAATTATATGATCCTCCCAACCAATCTGCAACATAAGTAGAAGCAACTTATCCATCCTCGGTTTCGGATATCATATGGACCATGAATTGACTTTATAGGAAACTTCTCGAGAATCTGCTTTTGTATAGATTTATTACTATTTGGCCACACAGATTGACACCTGTCATTGATAACTTCAACCTTATGCAATAGAAAACAGCAAAGCCGATGAAGCATTCTTTAATTTCCCATTGGTTCAAAAAGGGAAGGAAAGTACAATCTTTTAAGCTTGATAAATTTTAGGTAGTACTATTTTTTTTTGTAACCAGCAATCAAACTTGAAATGGACTCTAACTAACATCCCTCAAGGTATAGTTTACGAAAATTATCTAAGAGGAATAGGTATCAGAAACAAGAATTAAATCAAACAGCCAAATTTGGGACATCATAAACATGAGCAACAATGTTCTTCGCTAAACGACTAAATGCATTTAGCCACTTATAGCTGAGTCCAACTAATACATATCCATTGAACCAACCCATTTTCTTCTCTTTTTTTTTTTTGGGGGGGGGGGGGGTCAATAAATTCGAAAACAGAAACTTTTACTAGAGACTATTTTACATTCCTCTGCTCCCTCACATAATTTTCTTTCTTTCTTTATCCTCTTTTTCCATTTTCCCATATTTGATGCTAATTGAACTTTGGTCGTAACCGCATTGCACTTCAATTCAGCCGGTTCAAAGTCTTCACGGTACAAGAAAGCAAAAAGCACAAGAACCCTATCCATCCAACTATAGAACGCCAAAACGAGCTTGGATTATAATTTCCCAGTGAAGAAGCACTTTCTACTGACTTTTCATCTCTTTTCCAGAATAACTAAAACAGCATGAATATTGCTACTGAATCCCTACAAATACCTATGTTCTCCACCCACTAAAATCTCGAATACTATCCCTCCCCCCCCCCCAGCCCCCGGGAGCTATCTAATTCACTGACGAAAACACGGGGGAAAAAAAGACGAAGAGAAACTTGCTTCTGTTGCATGTTAAAAAAATCCTTATACGAATTGCAGCAAGAATTCAAGAACTCCATTACACAATTAATTCATCAATTGAAAAAAAAGAAGATAAAATTGGGCAAAAAAAAGAGCCCTAAAAACTATGGGAAAATAGGATTAATTAAACGATAATAAATCAAAATTCAACTCATATACAAGGAAGATTGCAACAATAACAAAAGCGAAAGAAAAAGACAACTAAGAACAGCTAATCAATCAGTTAAATTTACAGCAAAAAGGATTTCGAATTGCTTCGCCTTACCTGATAGGGAAGGAAGAGAAAGAAAAAGCAGCGCTTATGAAAAAGATAGGAAACCTTGAAATTTCCAGAAAATTTTGTAGGACAAAAAAAATATAGTAATATATATGAAAGGGTTAAATGCAATAAAACCCCAAACTTTTTACACAAGTTGCCATCTGCCCCAGAGGTCTATTGATACCTAAATGCACACCCGAGTTGTTTTTTATGATTTGTCATGGCTAATGTATTTAGGATGTGAAAATTACCCAAATAGTATGCCACTTGTATTTATTGAGTAAACTATAAAAGAATTTGCCTAAATGTTTAATAGAGAAATTTAGGTTAAAGAATGTGAGTATGGCCGTAAAGAAGATGGAATATTGAAAAAAAAATTTATAATCAGATTCAACCATGAACATTCAAAGTGTTGAATTTTGGAAATTAGTGACTACGACTTTAGTGGTTTCAAATCCATGTTATAATAAACAAAAGATAGTGAAGGTATAATCTAATTAATTGCTATCAAAATCTTCAAAGATTTGCAAATTTAGTCCATCTCAATATAGCTATCATTCATAATATAGCTATCATTAAGATAGACGAACTATGGTTTATCATCTCGTGCCAAATGAATGATGTAGAATTTAAAGAAAATGTCAATATAAGTTTAAAAATTAGGGTTTACTAGGATTGCAAATGAGAGCAGTCGAGTTGAATTTTGGTCTAATCGAATCGAGTTTCGACTTAATTTTATCAAACTCAAAATTGAACTCGAGCTCAACGAGTTCTTAATGCAAAGCTTGAGCTTGACCTCAAATTCAAGCTGAGACAAGCTTGAGTTCGAAATTAAAAAAATTAAAAATAATTATTTTATATTTAAAAAATGAACAAAATAGGAATTTTTCTTAACAAATAATAAAATATTATGGATATATATATATATATATATGTGCAATTTCACTATTAAATTATATATATGTAATCAAGCTAACTTACGAGTTGAGTATTTTTAAAATCAATTTCGAATTCGAACTCGATTTTGTTAGTTCGAATTCGACTCAAGGTCAATATTAACCGAACTCGAGTCAAGTTTTGACTCGAACTGCTCGCAATCGAGTTGCGAGCAACTCTATTCGTATGCAGCCCTACAGTCTACCATGAGAGTTACAATATGCCTGAGGAAAGTAAGCCTGTTAATTGTGCCCAATGGGTAGAGATGTTAATCAAACCAGGTAGCCCGTGAGCCGAGCTCGAGTTAAACTTTAGGCTCGTTTAATAGACGAGTCGAGCTATGCTCGGCTCGTTTAAGCTCAATAGGCTCAAATAGTAGAGTCATTAGCATCATTTTATTGTGTGTTTGATACTTTTACCTAATTCATTCTCCCGTTTCTAACCCTAATTTTTTCATTCCTCTTTCTGTCTTGCCTTAATGTTCATCTCCCAAACGAGCTCAAGCTCGAAAAGCTCGGCTCGATTTTAAACTAGAGTTCGAGCTCGAGCTCGAGTTTTCGATTGAGTACACCGAGTCGATTTTGAACAGCTTGTGAAGCTTGAATTACTAATCGAGCGAGCTTGATTAGAGGTTCGAGTCGAGCTCGATTATCATGTGCTCGAGCTTGACTCGACACGATTAACAGCTCTACCAGTGGGATGGGTTTTGAAATGTCTAAATTTTGACCAAATTAAAAACATAATAATCCAGTTTGAACTTGACCTATTTGGATTTGAAATACTAGGGCCCAAGCTCAATCATTTAAGTTATCAAATTTCGGGCTTAAGTCTGAGCTAGTCCAAATTAAATCATCCATTCTTTAAATATTATATATCACTAAAAATATAAATTTTTGAGTGTAATATATTATTTACATGATTAACACAAGATTAATCTTAATTAGGACTATAAACTTTGAATTGAATTTTTAAAGAACGTGGAAGCTATATTGTAAATACTATTATATATTGCAAAATTATATTTACATTTTTCATAGCTTAATATGTAAGTAAGAGTTGGACTTATATTGGATTAAGCTCAGTGGTGTACAAACTTAGCTCATTTAATTGTGGAGCCTAGATTTTAAGCTCAAACTCAACTCGGCCCATATATCAAGAAAGCTCAGTTCTTAATTTGAATGACGATGGGTCAAGCTCAAGTCAACTCGACCCTATTATCAATAAGCATAATGTGATCTACTCCAAAAACGAATATCAAATAGATAAAATTTCATGTAGTGCCCTAAGGCTAAGGTTGTATACTTGTAGCCAATCCTTTATTTGTAACTATTTATCCATAAAGCCAGGTTTAGCATGTAATGCTTGGATTAGAAAGACTTTCTATCGAATTTGATAGCATCAAAACTCAAGAGAGTTAAGGTCAATCATTCGTCTATTTTTGAAAGTTCTCCAAAGGAAAAGAGATTCCCAATATTCCATTGAGTTATTGACTCTTTCTACTGTATGAAAGATGCATCCTGTTACACTTAGTTGCGAACCTAAATTGTAGATTCCTCCCTTTTGATGACTAATTATACGTTGCAGTCGTGCAGACTCCTAAAGATGCATTGTAAGAAAATACTGTAATGAGGATAAATAAGATTAAAGCAGACTTTCATGTAAGTAAATTAATACGAGGGAGTATAAGGAATTACTCACTACAAGAAAAACTGCTTATAGAGGCGCATCAAAATGTCACAAGTCACGCTTTATTGAGGCATTTAATATATTGAGGCACATATTTAGTGTGCCATGTAAAACCTATGTCACAAAAGTTTTTTAAGGCACAATTAAGTGCCACGACACAGGAAACAATTCAGACATTTAGAAGTGCCAACACAAGGTTATAATGGTTACACCAAAAAATGCCTTAATTGGGATTTAACTTTCAAGAACTCAACTTTTTAGAGGCACAAAACAATGCCATCTTAACTTTAAGTTGACACTTAAAAATGCCTTAACAGTCCGTTCTTGAGATAGTAGTATTTGTCACAAAATGGTTGTTATTAAGGCATGCAAGTATGCCACTATATAGCTTAATGTAGATACTGGCAAATGCCTCTATATCAACCTTTAAAAGTGTTTTAAAATGCCTCAAAAACCTGCTATGTAACAAGAAAATTTCTATTACGAAAAACCCTTATCGTGACACTTTCAAGTGCCTCAATAGACTGGATTTTTTTTTTCTTTTTTATGCCCAGCCACAGGTACTGCTATGAATATAACATTCCTATTGTGTCAATATAATCGTACATTCATATTGGACATCTCACATTCAATGACCAAAACCAGCAATATTTGATGGAAAATCCACTTTCAAATTGTCACCATAACCAATGATTACAATTAAAGTACTTATAACTCCTGGTAGTTTTCCAACCAACCAATTAAACTTTCATCCTTGGAAAAGAAAAACATCATATTTGTTTTAACATTCATCAAACAGCTAGAATGGCCTACTAATTGTTTGCCACGATTTCACCTAAATAGCACCAGATAAATTAAAATCAACTAAACCGCTAGTAGACCAACTTCTTGTAATATGTGCAGCAACACTTTGTCCTTTTATAGTTAGAGCACTTCCATATAAGTGGATAAGTATCCATATGCTGCAACACCTTGTCCACTTTTGAATTTCAGCACATCAATTTTCGCAAATTTTTACCTATAGCATAAGTATATTATGTATTAAAATCTATCGTAATTATCGAATGAAACAAACATATGAGATATTAACAGTTAACATAATTTGAAAGCTAGAAAAGGAAAAACATACTAGTTTTGTTGGCCAAGATATAGGAGCACCAATTGAATTAGCAATTGTCTGCAAAGGCACATAAGGCCTAATCAAATGCTCATCACGTTCAACCACAACTTGAACTAGCACTTCACACCAATTCGAACCTAGTGGTTGGCCTCCAACTATTGTAGAAGGATCAAGGGATTGAAGCCGTCCAATTGCCACAACTTTTGTTGGCTCATCTAAGCTAAAAAGAGAAATCCAGTCTCCCTCCTACATGAAAATGCAAAACTCGAAACATCAGAAAACTAACCATATGCAAAGTAGTCACATCAAAATTCCAGTCCATACTTCTACAAAAGTCCACAACTACTCAAGAGTAACATGTAACAAATATAAAAATAACTAAACTAAAATTGCTTTCAAACTGTAATAGCAAAACATATCTACATGGTCGGACCATTTCAAGGAAATCCCTTTCAAGCAAAACAGCAAAAGTGTTACTAATGTTGATACAGCCAGCAGCGCATATCAAATGTCTATCGAATAGCCTTTGGGATACTCAGTTAGCATATTTCCATCAACTCTACGCTTCAGTCAGATTGGAGAAATTAAAAGCTTCAACATTACAGTTCAAGTAATAAACACAGCACAGAGAAATGTAATCTTTGGTCAGCATCATCTTAGTAATCTTTGGTCATTCATGCAAAGAGTAACATGAGATAAAAATAAAAATAAATAAACTAAAATTGCTTTCATATTGTAATACCACAACATGCCTAAATATCAGATCATTATCAAGCAAAGAGGATTGGCATTACCGAACAAATATATTAAAAAACTTACTTTAAGAGGTCTAAGACTGGAACTTGAGGTTGAGATATGATTAGATGATGTTGAAGTGATTCTTGATTGATT